TCTCCCTGTTTTTTTTCAACAGATCTGGTGAGGTCCTCAGTATTAGCATAATTAGTTAGAACTAAATAATGTCCTATATTCCTAGCAATTATTGGAAGCTAATAAAATTATCCCTTCAATTTCAACGTTGCAATTCTGTTTATTTTACTACTTCTATTACAACAAGTTTTTGGTGACAGGAGAAAACGAAGGAATTAAGGCTTCAATTATATACTGAATTATTCATGTCTAAATCATGTCCAAAGAAATGTGGTCTTAGTGGAAGCATATTTTTCTGACTCAAGACCTCTATACAGGAGCTATGTATTCCTTGTTTCTCTATACATATCCATGTCTCTACCAAATATAAATCCTACAGTCTAGAGAAGATAAAGGTATACTAGATCAACTATTGCAGTTCTGTGTTAGTGAAGGTTTTGCAATACAAAAACCATAGTAATCTGCAGGTAGTCCCACTGACTTAATAGTGAACAGAATTTGATGCTAAATACTTAATTAATTGCCTACATAGGAGTATTTACTTCTAGATATCTTTATTGCTAGGTCTTGTTCAGGCACATGCAGTCTTGAGTGAGCTTCCTAGCCATTAATTTACTAGATATAGTAGTTAACAAGTGATGTAGCCACATTGATCCAGAAAGTATGTGAGGCAAGGATTTCTTCAGGTATCTTTTATTGGACCAAATATGTAATTGGGAAAGAGTTAGACAAGCTGGTCCAATAAAAGAAATCCTTGCCTCTTGCACATTTACTAGACAAAGACAGGCACAGAGAGTCAGTGTATAAATTATATTGCATGAACAAGTAAAATATTCAGCTGAAATAGCAAAGTCCAAAATAGCTGTTCAAAAATAGAGAGAAAAAAAACTACACTCCTCAGTTACTGCTCACTTTAATCACAAATGGTGCATTTCCAATTATCATAATTTACCAATATGCACAGAAAACATTTGCTGTTGCATTTTGAAAAACAGTAACATTTCTGTTATCCAGTACTTCACTAACCGGAATACTCTATTAACTGGAGTTTCCAGCCAGCCAGCCAGACACGGGGGGGACGGGAAGCTTGCATGCCATTGCTGCCACCCACCGCCCTATGCTGCCGCTGCTCCGTGTGCGCCTGCGTTATCTGAAAACCCTGCCAGGTTATTTTAGCTAACCAGAGTTTTTACATAACTGGCAGTCCCCTTACCCTGAAGATGCCAGATAACAGAGATTTTATTGTATATTGTAAGTCTCCTTTGCTATGCCCAAAACACACACAGATCCCAGTAAAAAACTGTAACCACTTTTAAGATGTATTTCAATAAGCTTATGAAAGGGACTATATGACTTTGTTGCCTGTGATGGCAAGGGTCTGAACCTGATGACCCAACCTGTCTCTTCCAGTCATGGGCTCTTATCTTCTTCCTAAAATGAAGCATTCACTTTGTGTTCATCTTTCTTTTTGAGGTCCATTTCCCGACTTAAAGCCCAATGCTTGTTGTCAGAGTTCTCCTCTATATGCTTCTTTGGCAAGGCATATATTATAGTGCTTATTACAAAATGGATACTAGCAAAATAGATTATGAGAAAGCAAGTTGTTAGGAGCCTTCAAGGCCTATATATATACACACATAGAAATCTGATACACAATACATACATACATAAATATATATATAAATCTGATATACAATACCTACATATATAGATATCTATAGACATTGTATATCAGATTTCTGTCTTCCATTTCTGTTACAAACTTTTTGGATCATGCTTGTCACACTTGTCTGAAAAGAGCCTAATATATATTTGGTTATACATATGTTCATCATCATTTGTGATTAATGCACGAGCATTCATTATACTAGTGAAGTAAAAGGTAGAGCACAAGTTGGGGATTTTTATCACATGCTGATGGTGTATTCAGTGGATAAATTGAAGTGTGATGTGTTTTCCATTTTGCTCAGGGACATGCCATATGGTACAAAATACTGCAATTCTCACACATTTTGCATAAGGAATTTACATGCTTTTCTGCCTGTCGAAGAGTTAATCTGATAAGTATAAAATATGCCAGATTTTCAGTATCAGATTCTGCTTTTGTGGATGCATTTTTGCAGCCATAAATAATTACTCTTAGAATTTTTCTCTGGCAATGAATTCCTGGAACTAGGATTAGTAATTATATCAATCATCAAACATGAAGACTGCTTGAGACTTGGTTGAAAATCTGGTCCCAGGTATTTCATGAAAAATATTGCTCAAATTAATTATCTTGCTGGTTGAATGTATGGATAAAGGAATCTAGTTATACGCCTGGGCAAATAGGGAAAAAAAAGAGCCCTGTACTCACCAGCTGCAGCAGCAGCAACTGGCAGCATGGGGCAGTGGGGATCACTCCTCCCCACCCTGCTTGGCACCCACATGGCAGGTGCCTCATGGTGCGGGTGGAACATGGCTTGGCAGGGTGCCATGTGCTGCCAGGGACCTGGGACTGCTGTGGCTGAGCGCTGATAGGCTGCAGCTGACTGCTGGAGCCACCTTAGTTCCCAGGCAGTGTATAGCATCCTGCTGAGCCATTCTGCACCCTCGCTATGGCACAGGTGCTGAGCAGGATGGGAGGCTGGGCTGGGTGGGGGGATGGGGCTGGGCAGGGCAGCCATGGGGGCTTCTCCTGTGGCTCCTCTGGCTGTGCTTGCCTCTGCCCCAGCAGCGGGAGCTGCGGGGGCTATGTCCTGCGGCCGCTTGCCCAACCAGTGTGGCGTGGGAGGAGGGGGCACAATGCAGGTGCAGCTTGCTCTAGGAGGAAGCAGGGCATAGCCCCCACTCCCAGTGCTGATGTGCCCACTGGGGGAGCAGGGGCTCTGCCCTGCCACTGCTTGCTAGTTGGTGCGGGGTGCATGGGATATGGGCACAGTAGCACTGGAAGTGGGGTTTATGCCCTGCTGTTGCTTGCCCTCTTCTGCCTGGAGCGAGCTGTGCCCGCATCCTGGCCCCCACCCCCCTCCCCAGCTGGGCAAGCAGCAGCAAGGCAGAGTCCCTGCTCCCAGCGCTGCTGCATCTGCATCCTGAGCCCCACCGAATGAGCAACTTGTCCCAGCCCCAGCCCCAATTCCTCCCTCCCCTATGCCTCTTCTTTCTCCCCCTCCCCCAACCCTAATAGACTTACCAGCTGCAGGCAGCTGCCAGCTGCCTGTTTAGTCTATGGCCGAATCTCTGAATTAGCCAAATCTTTTCTGAAGCTTTTCTGAATTGATTTGGAGCTTTGACTTGGTTGCCCAATTTGATTCAGATTCAGAGATTTGGTCCCCAAATCAGGCTGAATCTCCTCCGAATTGAATCAGCTACCGAAGCTTTGCACTGCCCTACTAGTTAGATCAGTGGCCCAATATGCATAAAAGTCCAATAACAAATTTGCACACGCCAGGTACAGATATTACACTTTTACCAGTATAAGCAATCAGAAACTGGTCTGTACCCATAACAGAAGTTCAGCACACATAGACTGCTTTAAAAATGGCAGAACCTGGTCTAAGGTTTGTCCCCTGCCAACAAAGGGCGAATGTATGTTCTGTTTGCTGGTGATTTAAACTATGCCACTTACAGAAAACCATGTAACTCGCACTGATTCTGTCTCAGGCTTTTTGAATGTCTGTACCTAGCCATAGTGAAGGGGTCAGCAACCTCTGACTTATGTGCCAGATCTAGTCTTCCAGGTGATTTAATTCAGCCCATGAATTTGGATATCAGCAGTATTTTGTTGACAGAACAATTTGGGGGCATTTTGGTGGCGGGGGGAATTTTATAGAGGGTTGCACATGCAGCAGCAGCAAGAAGCAGCACCAGGACTAGCCCACCTTGGGATTGAACTGCATTATTTCAGCCTGCAGCTTCAAAAAGGTTGCTAACCCCTGACATGTTGCCTTAGAGTTATCAGCAAGATATAGACACACACCCATGGTTCCCATACTACCTCATATTAAAGCATAAGATCAATTTGTATGAGAGGCCAATGAATTGGGTTAAATTAAGGCTTTTTATGAATTTACAAGAACATTATACTGCATATCTGTATAATGCACCTCTTGGAAGAAGATGCTGCAAGTCAGCCATATGCATGAGTTGCACCCTTTTTTAGTATTAAAGACATGTGGATCTACAACCAGAACTGAGTCCCTCACTAGCAGTAGGGAAACAACTTTGATTTGGCAAACTAATTCAAACTATTTTTGTGCATTAATTTTAAAATCAGACTAGCGCAGACTGTGATCATGCAAACTAAGTAAGGCTAAACCAAGAGTTGGGTTGGAAACCTTTAACAAAAGTTAACGTAGTACAGTAGTACAGTAATTGAGGCTGGTGTTGCACTGTACCCTTTGGTTCAGGACTGGGGGTTCAGTATGTGGATGTAATTATTATAACTTAAATAGCACCTTAAATGCAAATCATTTTAAAAACATGCAAAGAAGCATTAACTGTATTCAAAAAAATTTACAGTATGTTGCTAGAAGTGCATTTTTTCAGGTGAGGGTTAAAATAGAGGTAAGAACTATGTGTGGTCATTGAAAGATCATCTTTTCCAAGTGTCAGTTCTGGCCATTTAAAAAGAAAGTGTAATTACATTCTGCTTCCCCAAGTCTCCCAGAGGCTTCAATGGGAACAGCTGAGCGTGGTAAAAAAAAATTTCTCCATGTATATATGTGTCTGTGACCTATATCTATATATAGAGTGCACATGCAAGCACACATTCTTGGAGTATTGTTGCACAATTTATACTTAGAATTTCCATGCACTGCAGTTCTCTTAAAGTATGCACACTTGAAAAGATAAAGTTTGAAGAAAACGGTAAAGAAAAATTGTTTTCCATTGAATGCAGATCTAAAATTGTATTTTCATTGAAAGCAAGTTGACCTAGATAGTGAAATGTAGAACAGGTATCTAAAGGTAAGGAGCTAGCTAAGCATGTATTCTGTGTACTTCCAGATGAGCCACACAAAATCGAAATACAGATGAACTGATTAAGGTATGATATTCATTTTACTTTAGCATTGGGTGGCAGAGTCTCTCATAAGCAAACGTGCAAAACATGTCTTCTGAGAACTTTTACAAAATCTCAAGTGCATAATGACAGTTAAAGTGCATCCTTTCTAATAATGACATGGTCTACATTTGGTCTGTACTAATAAACTTTAAGACAACTTAAATTCCACATTTTAAATTAGAAATCCACTTAATTATAAGTAATCTTCAGCTCTGTATGCCACCTGTATTTGCATTTATATTCTGCAGTGAGACTGCAATATAATTTTCTGTTTATTGTCGTGGGTATGCTTCTACTGTAAATCTACAATTTTATGTAGGCAATCCTGGCACATGGCCAAACCCGTGATTAAGTATCTTATACAGCACACCGAAAGAAAATGTCAGTATGAGTAACAAATGTTCCACAGGCAGGGCTAGGATGTTAGCCTGAACAAGTATTATCTGTTTACTTGTATTGACACCCTTCGTATGGGCTCTTTTAGAAACAAAACTGAGAAAAATGTTCTCCCTCCCTGCCCCAGCATTTCTATGGGTATTTACTAGTTTACTGGAAAACTATTAGTTTACTGGTTTTTATTTTACTTCGCAGTAGGGAAGCTATCAAAATAATTTAGTTTACAAAACTGTAGTCTATCCAACATGAAGGAACAAGAGTCCAGGTAGAATATATTGATCTTAAAAATGCTGCCTGTGTAGATTAATTGTTTTCTTTCATAGGCTATTACTATTGGTAAAATATTTACACTGCACATGTCAAATATTGTTTGGAAATGAACACGTGCTGTTATTACTTTTTGATTTTCTTTGTCTTTGAAACACTGCTGTGGTGTGCGTTGCCACAACTTTTCTCTCTCTCTCTTGTTGTCACACACACTAATTGGCCTAATAACAGGCAAAACCAAGAATTTATTACACCTTAGGCAATACTTAAAACAAACTTTATTTGCTGGAGCAGCACTTTTTATCTACTTGCTGCTGTATATTTTGACACTCCCTCTAAGTGCTAAATTTGACTTTATTAAAAGTGAAATCACCAAACTCCCTTTTTGTGATTGCTGCTGCTTTTGCATTTTCTGAGGCAGACTTGTATTGTACATATATAAACATTTCATTTTAATGAAGCTTTAGGAGATACCAATTTAAGCCATGACTATAAGTTCTTCATTACTGTCAATCCAAAAGCTGCATGAATAAAAAAATAATAAAAATAAACCCACAATCCTCCCTAATACTTTGAAAAAGTAGCCTTGGGATAATAACAGTGATGACCTGAGAGAATAATGGTAGGAGCTGGGAGCTTAAATACTGTGTGGTGGGGTGGTCCTTGGAGTTTTGTACATTTTTCTAAATATCTAGATATTTTTGGGTTGGTTTGCAAAAGAAAAAAAAGTGTTAGACTTCACTGCAAACTGCATTCTACCTTTTAATTTACATTTTATTCATATAGAAGATGGTAAAATGATCAAGGAAAGCGTTTCCTTTAAATAGTCTTTAAAAAACAGCAATGCAAATCCCCTGAAATTGTTTATGCAGGAATTTTTATTCTTTTAAATCTTCCAGTGTTAAAGCAACAAGAAAACATTTAGAATGTCCTTTGGTGGAATCTTATTACACTTGTTATATATGTAAACTGATATTCTTTGATGCCAGCACGTTGCCCATACAGAGAAATCTCTGCACAATTAAATGAAAGGAAAAAAAGGACCAAATAAAAACTAATATTTTTTCATATCTGATTAGAATTAAATACATTAACAAATTGTCTGGTAACACAAATTGGCAATAATACAAAAAATCTACATTGTACATTAGTTCAAGAAAAATAACTTCATTTGAATACAAAAGGATAAATACACTTTTGTCCTATAGCCACTCTTGTACAATAGGTGAACACAGCATCTTAATGATGCAGTGCTGCTAAGATATACAAGGATATGACTGGCTTGAGTTTTATTGAGGGGGCTGTTACACGTGTGCATCACTAACATCAGACAAAGAAATCTTTCAACCAACAAGGGTTACAGAGCAACGTTCACTAAAGCACAGGTTGGAAAGGATTCAGGGATTGAAGCAGGCCAATATGGCAGCTTGAACAGATTTCCTTATACCCACAATGCACTGACAGCAAAGAATGCCTCTATTTGGTTGGTCCACACACTGGGCAGAGGTACAGTAGCGCACCATATTGGAGTAGCAAATGTTTTTATTTTCCATTTTGGGGGCTGTCAAAGCGTTTTCAATCCTGTGTAAGCTTTGCAGCTGGCATTGTGATTTGCAGTAATAGAATTGGCAGCTGCCAACTTGTCTTGAGTCAGAAATTAACAGTCTTGACTCAGAGCGCTGTCCACAATTAATTAATATGGCTTAGTTCAGTTAGGCCTTCTTACTTTATATGTGGTTTTTTTTCTGTTTCTTTTTTATTTTAGTAGCAAATGCTTGGATTCTATATTTCTTTCATGTGGCACATTCCATTTGAAGCAGTCTGAACAACGATGCCATCGACCATATGGGGTCTAGAATATGAAAAGTCCAGTTACTCCTAGTAGAGCAGTCAGCAGTAATAGAGGGCCATGTGATATTGCCCTCTGGGCCGAATTTTGGTTGCAGCCTCCTGGATCCCTTTCACACTTCAACTTCTCGCATAAAATGCCAGTATAAGCTGGAGGGCACTGGCATCGCACGTTGTTGATGCATGTTCCTCCATTCTGGCAATGTAGTAGTTCGTTGTCGCATACATTTTCTGCAGGATTGAGGGAAAAGAAAAAGAATAGCAAAATAAACTTAAGTTCAACTGTTAAAGACAGCTTATAACCAAAAATAAATCTATTGGCTTCCCCCCCATTTTGAAATGGAAGCAAGATATGCATTTCCAGTTTCTGAACAACTGCAGTTGAGCCTTTTTTATATTAGGTATTTTTTTCATATATGTTCTTTAATCTTAGAGAACATTATAATTCATTTCAAACTACAAAGATACTTAATACCTGCTGTTTTTCAGTGTCTTGATTTTTATTGTTATTGCTGAACTGGAATGCTAGATAAGTGCATTCTTTGAAAGGGGCAACAGGTACTCAAGAAGCGCAGAGCTCTTGGAAAAGATTAATGGCAATTAAAAATGCAATGTGGCTTTGCTGAAATGAAGAGAACTCAAAGAAATCAGCCCCTAATATTGAATAGCTTTTACATAGTAATGTACTGGCAGATAAACAAAAAGGCATGAGGTGGGTACAGCATAGGTAAGTCAGCATGCTCTTAGGTGGATGTTAAATGGCTTTAGTTGCTTAAATCCATGCACCATGTACTTGTGGGAACAGAGAGAAATGGTTACATTCCATTACAAGTTCAGGCACTTCTTAATTGCATACATTTATAAACAGTGCTTAGGTTCCAGGGTAATAAGGACCTTAGAAATATTTTAGATAGATAAATCATCTACTGGTGATAGATTGAAGAAATAGGAATGGAAGGGTCAGTGTCAGGAATTTTAGAGCTCCAAAGGTAGGTTTTCCTACGATATTTTAAAAATCATTTAAGGTTTTTCTTTACATTAATTAGAACAATGTTCATTGAAACACTCCTATCTAGTTATGTATATGAATTGTCACATTCTTGTGTCAGTCTCAATTTTAGTTTAGTTGATTTTTATCAAGTAGAATACTATAGATCAGTGATGCTCAACCTTGTGGCCCTGCAGGTCAGATGAATGGGGCAGGATCAATCCACAAGTCCAATTAAGCCCACACGCCAGGACTGGGTGCTGGGCCCATCACCTTCCCACTGAGGTGGTCCCCAGGGGGCCTGCCCTGTCCAACCAGGATAGGTCTTCAGGGAGAGGCAATAACCCCATTCCACTGGCCCAGCACCCTGCCCCCCAGGGCCTGGCACTGCCCCATTAGGATTGGTCCCTGGGGGCCTGGCACTTTCTTCTTCCAGCCTAGCACACTGGGGCTGGGTCCCAGGGGCCCCTCCTGCCCCCCCCAACTGGGATTAGGCCCTGGCTCCGGACCAAGCTGCCCCTACCGCAAGATCCCAGTGGCTCTGGAGCAGCCCCTTGCCCTGCTGTCATGCGCCATGGCAACCCCAGCCTTGGGCTTTCACAGCGCAGTTGTGGCTGGGGTCTCCATGGAGACCGGCCCCAGCCATGCAGGCAGGGGCTGCTGGGAAATGGAATCTGGCTGCCGGCCAGATGGGCCATTTTGCCCACCCCTGGATTAAGGCTTGAGTTTCAGAATGATGCATGTGTTGTGCATAGCATTCAGCTATGGTGAGCCTGTGCTGTGGCAGGAAAGACTCACGGATAATTGTATGATTTTTTCCCCCATTCTGCCTTCCTAAAATGAGGTGCATGTTTTATTTGGAGTGTGTCATATGCAAGGAAGCATGATACTTACAAGTCTGCTTTGAGGTAAAGGAAATATAAATGAATTTAGAACGGTGGTTCTCAACTTTACTAGACTCAAGACATCACTCTGAAAAAGCCAGCTCTTAGCTTTCACTCATCTCTTGACTCGGAAAAATAACTTAATTTTTCTGTTGCAAAGAAGTCAGAAAGACCACAAAAGGTCAGAGTGTTTTTTATGCTATTGATTCCTATTCAAAACCTTTGGGTTTCTTTTGTGAAGTGGATAGAGATGTTTGCACAGACAACAGTGCTAATATTGGGCAGCTGCAGCACCTGGGTTGAGAATCACTAGTCTAGAGTAAGGTATGCAAGAACTGGCTCTATAATTTATAATGTTTAAGCATGTAACATCCAGGGAACACCTGAAGGAAGCAGAATAGGGAAACATAATTTTTCCACTGCCAGGTTTGCTAATTGTTGTTTCCATTCCTTTAGCCATTTTAAAAATATTTTATTATTTTAATATGAAAATATTATGAATACTAAACTTTAACTGAGACCCAGATGTAATTTTGCATAACTTTAAAAATCAGTGGATGTGTAGGATGATTTATACCAGCCAGCAACATGGCTCAAAGCTCTTTTAAAAGAGATTTCAATTTGTTATAAGCCGAGCCACGCTGATCTTAGAAAACTCATTTGTGCATCCAAATGAGTCAAGTAATGAGCATGGTGTACTTTCTCCACAATATGTAACAATATAAAGTAACCAAAAAGCAACAGCTTAACAGGTTTCTCTTTTGCCACTTTTTCTCTGTGATTTCTTCAGTTCTGATGATATATTTTATAATCTTTTGATAGATTACAAAAATGCAGCCACAGTTTCTGATTAGTTAATATCACAAGTGAACACTAAGGTACAGCAAATGTGGTATGTTCGGGATATTATAAAGAAGACAACCATATGTCTGCATTTTAATGTTCTGTACCACAGCACATTAAATACTTCAAGTCAGGCTGTACCACGCACAGTGATGCCAAGTCCAGAGAGTAAACCACATTTTTAAATATTTAAAGTAATATACTTTTTTGGTTACTACTCTTATAGCTCGCACGCTATATAGATATTTAAAGTTGATCTTACAATTTATTTAGTACCAACTTGGTCACAGCAATATGCAAAGGTCATATATAAGCCCTGTTTAAAGGTAAAGCTGTTGAGCTTTGCTTATTCTAACACTAAGCCTCTGATTGGGATGTTTCCTTTGATTTAGGCAACAGCAATGGTGAAATATCAATTCCATCAATATTGAGCATTGCTTGGCTTGAATAATTGAGTGGAAATCAATAGTTAATTAAATAGTCTTTTTTTTATAGTGAGATCTTGTTTTCTTTATGTTTGGTCCTGAATGCAAATGAGATCTTTACTAAAGTTTGCTTTTTCCAAGTAGCCAATAAAACAAGTTTATTTTTCCAATTTTCCAATGTGTTTTGTTTGTTTAAAAATATTATGAGAAAGATGCTCTGATTTTTAAGAAGGCGTCATCTGAAACTGATCTTGTGCCCACAGTTCTGTGAGCATGGATTACTGTGGGAGCATCTCACAGTACATTTGCAGCTAATTCTACTACAGCTATAGACCAAGTGAAGTAACTGTTGCCAAATGCCCTCTCTATAATTTCTCCACGCCATATCAATGAGGCTGCTTTTTCAAATTTGGCCGGATATTTCTAATTACTTAAATATCATAAAAGAATGTATGGATACAAGTCTTCATTTTCAGTGTTTCTTGTGTGTTCACAGAAATGCATACAAATGCACATGAAAGTTGAAAGAGGCATAATCAAACGATTTGAGGACTACAAGTTACAAATGATGGAGTTTCTATCTAACTGCTCTCACTAATTTTTTTTATGAATCTGAAAAGCCATTTCACCTCTATTCCTCAGTTTCTTCTTTTATAATATATGGACAATTTTAATAAAATTGTATTGTAAGCGTTTGTCAATCTAACACATAGGGCAGTGTGGCGCCTAATCCCAGTGTGTGGTGTCAGGGCTTAATCCCTGTGTGCAGGGCCTGATCCCAGCAGGTGGGGAATGGCACAGGGCCTGACCTGGGCATACAGGGACCAGCCGAGATGTGTGTGGCTGAAATGTGTGGGGCTCGCCTGTGGGGCAGAAAGGCTGAACGTCACTGCTTTACACTAACTGAAGCAGAGATCTATAAGCTTTCTGATGTATAGTATCTGATGAAGTGAACTCTTGCTTACAAAATGTTATGTATCTCTGATTCAGTTAATTTATAAGGTGCATCTCTACCCTACCTTAATCTTAAAAGAGTTGTGTGTTTTAAATACCTGCAAATTAGGCTGCAAGTCTCCAACAGTGAAAAGTCATGACATGAATTTCAAGATGATTTTTTAAAAAAAAGTAAGACTTGTGGATATCTGCTTCTCTATTCAGGGTGACTGCTGCATCCTCTGATAAGGTCTCTCCATGGCTTTTGCCTTATTTTGATGATGATCTGCATTTTGGTTTACTCAGCTGTTAGTACATGGACTACACTCTTGTGGATTTCTTAAACAGCTGTACCAGCTGGGAGAAAGCCACCTCCAGAAGCAGACAAACTTTTCAAGTTTTGCAAATCCTGGAAAAGTTATGCCAAAGTTACTAAGACACTATTAATTTTTTAACTTAAAATTAGGCATCTTTCAAAAAGTAATCATTAATAAAATACTGACATCTTTTGTAGGTTAGACTTCCATAAATACTGGGAATATGCTTTGATTCAAGTCACAAAATATTCACATTAAATCATTTGTTTGTAATTTCAAAGCAATTTAAATGCAATTCAATTAAAAAAAGTAAAGTCAAAAGGCTAGGCCCCTTCTTTCTGCCAGATCTGGCAGTTGAAATGGCAAGTGGTATATTAGTGGTCCACAGAACTTAGCTCAGATGCTTAATCAAACATATTGAGGATAGCTGATAAATTTTGACAAGTTTATACAGTATTTTGAAGCATAATACATGAATAATTCATGGAAAAATGTGTGTTTAAAGCTCATGCATTTGCAATAAAAAGAGTTTGTATTAGGCCCACATTTAATTCTGAAATATCAATAAAGATGATGTGACTATGATTCAGAGAAATATAATAAACAAATTATCTCTTCTTGAAGTGGGGAGAATGGGAACCAAATACAAGTTCTTTGTAATTTTATAGTCTATTGGAGAGCCACTCAAGATACAAGAAAGTAAGTTTTACTCCTTTTTCTGGGACATCTTTTTCCACTTCTATGTTCAGCTTGCCAACTATAGCACCTTAACTTAAAAAATAATGTAGTCGGGTGGGTCAGCACATAGATAAGAGAGAGAACATGGCATTTTTTCAAAAAG